TTCTAGTATTTTTTATCTTATAGATGTTGCTTTGTGGGGGCCTTATTCTATTAAATCTATTACTGGAGCCACTCACATGATTACTATAGTTGATGACCACAGTAGATACACATGGATATATATGGTTTCCATGAAAACCCAGGTCTAATCAGTCTTAAACCATTTTCTCCAACTAATCTTTACCCAATTTCACCGCACCATTAAAGCCATTAGAATCAATAATTGTATAGAGTTTATTAATGAGAGTTGTTATAATCTATTCAAAGAAACGGGAATTTTACGTAAAAAATCTTGTGCCTATACCCCCTAGTAGAATGAGGTTGTTGAGAGAAAACATAGGACTTTGCTTCAAGTTGCTAGAGCATTACTTCTTCAATCTAGATTACCCAAACACTTCTGGTCTGACTTGTTACTTATTGCTACCCATTTGATTAACAAATTGCCTTATGAAAACCTGATAGTGATTTTTGCAAGTGTACGAAAATGCAACAAGTAATAAAGCGTGAGTAGAGTATCGTTCCCACGAGTACTGTGTACCAAGTACCAAAATTATGTTAACCTACTATTATTTAAACGAAAATTTAGGAAAATTATTTTAAGAAATTAAATTCAACAAATAAAAGATAATAAAAAGAAATCAAGCAAGGCAATTTTTGATTAAAAGAAACTAAGGATTAAAAGAAATCAAGCAAGGCAAATTTTTGATTTAAAAGAAACTAAAGGAATTTTAAAGATACTAAGGCGATTTTACTTCACTTAGCCTATTCGCAATTTATTTTATTAGTTTGATAATAATTTTAAATGTTTTATAGTAGAGGAACACCCTAAAATCACTTAACAAGCTCTCCCCAATGTATTGTTAGCTATTTTAACCCGGTCTAATTACCTATTCTTGCCAATAGGCGCAATCAACATGAATTAAATCATTAATGTTTTAGTGGTTTGTTTATGAATTCATAACCTAAGGTCCATTAATCTTATGAAACCCCCCCATGAGTCAATACTATATAGCTTTCCGCATTCAAAGTTATTATTCTCCATGTATTTCTTACCCTGATTCATATCAAAAAACCCTTCTCCCGATGTGATTAATGAAATAAAATCAATCCAGGGGAGAAAACTCTGCCTGGAAGTATTAAGTTTCAATAATAAAGTTATATCATGAACATAGGAAAAGCAAAATTCTATATTTTTTTAAATTAAATCAAAAATTAAAGCTACATTCAATATCCTACTATGAGAGTTTTTAGTTCAACATAGTAAATTTAAATAAAACTCAAAATTAAACTTGTAATAAAATATTCTCATAATCAACATGAATATTGAAAATGAAACAAGAAAAGAGTTTAGAAATAAAAACTAGTTAATGATTGGCTTGGGTGGCTTCCTTGAATTTAACCCAAATCTTTAATACTTGAAGTCTTAGAGAGAGAGAGAAAACAATAGAACAAAAGATGGAATATACAATGCCTCCCTCCCTATGACTCTTCTCTCTATTTATATAGACTTTCTGGAGTATCTTCGTGTTCGTTTAAGAAAGTGAATCTTTATTAAGTAAGAAATCTTTTAGAGATAGGAAACTGTTCAGACTTTATATTTCTTCCCAATTAGGACTCTCTCAACGTTTAAATAGGATTAAAACTTGATTTTCAAGTCAGAAAATCATCTCATGTGGGTCCATGCAAGTGGTGCAGGATGGGCTGACGTTTTAGGCCCAAGGCAAAACCTGAAATTCGACACGGGTGTGCTGTGAGGCACGGCTAGGGCGTGCCAGCCTCTGAGAGTTTTGCTTACTTTGCTCTTTTCTATGTCAAAATCCTACAAATTTCCTTAACATCAAGTAAGTTATGATTCAAGGAAGCTTTGAACAAAAACATAAATAAAGCTAAATAAAAACTAATTAAAGTAATTAAAACTACTAAAATTCCTAATAAAAACTATATTAAAAATACTATAAAAATAACACCTATCAAAACTCCCCAAACCAAAAACTCCCCAAATAATTGAAAATCTCCCTATAGCTGTTACATCATAGAAAAACCAGATTATGCTCATCTTAAAGTCATTGGTTGTCTAGCAATATGCCACTAATGTTGAAAACAATAAAAACTAATTAAAGTAATTAAAACTACTAAAATTCCTAATAAAAACTATATTAAAAATACTATAAAAATAACACCTATCAAAACTCCCCAAAAATGAAAATCTCCATATGAGCTGTTACATCATAGAAAACCAGATTATGCTCATCTTAAAGTCATTGGTTGTCTAGCATATGCCACTAATGTGAAACCTTTCAAGAACAAATTTAGTTCAAGAGACATACCTAGTGTTTTGTTAGGCTATTCCCCACAACAAAAGGCATATAGACTTGATGATCTTCAAAATAAAATAATCTTTAATTCTAGAGATTTTTCTTTCCATGAATCCACATACCCTTTTCATCATTCAAACCCTCGAGATGTTCTCAACTTTGTGTTACCTACATGCATTGAGGAATCTTTACATGAATCAGAGACCATTACTCTTACTTCATAACCTGATATGCATACAGCCCCTGATATTACACAACCCATAAATACCACCATTGTTCCTATTCAACCTTCACTAGGTAACATTGATCATACTTCACATTCACCTATCATTCCAATAGAACCTAACCATCTTACCCTACCTAACCTCAAAAGAAGTTCAAGAATTATTCAAAAACCAATTTGGCTCAAGGATTTTATAGCCTCTGTTAGTACATGTAGCAATGGTGACATTACTTCTACAGAATTTCAGGTAATCTCCAAATTCCTTCTTTCACTAATCATAATTCCTTTGTACCTCACACAATCACTTTTACACCTGATCATATGGCCTTTATGCACAATGTATCAAAAATTTATGAACCCTCTTCTTATCACCAAGCTAAAAGTAATGACAATTGGGTCCAAGCTATGCAATAAGAACTCAAGGCTTTGGAATCCAATCAAATTGGTCCTTAACTCAGTTACCAAAGGGCAAGAAAGCCTAGTAAATGGATTTTTAAGGTTAAATACAAACCCAATGGTAAAATAAATAGGTATAAGGCACAATTAGTAGCCAAGGGCTATAACCAATTATTTGGGTTAGATTATACAGAGACTTTTTTCCCTTGTGGCAAAATTAGTCACAATAAGATTTTTTTTGGTTATGGCTACTGTCAAGGGTTGGCCTTTATGTCAGCTTGAGATAAACAATGCTTAGCTCCATGGGTTTATAGAAGAGGAAATTTATATGAAACCACCTGAAGGTTATTCTCAAGCTCTTCCAGGACAGGTTTGCAAACTGAATCGGTCTCTATATGGTTTGAAACAGGTTGGACACCAATGGAATAAAGAATTCACTCAAACATTAACTGAATTTGGGTTTATCCAATCAGCCCATGACCATTGCTTGTTTTTCAAAGGTTCTAACAATACAGTCTTGGCTTTACTAGTATATGTCGATGATTACTTGATCACTGGTGCTAATGAGGAATTAATTCAACAAGTGAAAACCTTCTTGCATAACAAGTTCACAATCAAGGATTTGGGTTATGCCAAGTACTTAGGAATAGAGATTGCAAGGTCTTCTCATGGCACGTGCTTATCTAAAAAAAAAGTTCATTCTTGATTTAGTCACAGATGCAAATCTAATTGATGCTCAACTAGTGAGTACTCCTCTCATTCAAGGTCAAAAACTCACTGCTGAGATGGACATTCCTATGCTTGATCTTGAGACTTGTAGGAGATTAGTTGGCCGGTTACTCTATTTGAGCATGACCAGACTAGATATCACCTTTGCCGTGCACAAGTTGAGCTAATTTATGCAACATCCTTTTAATCAGAATCAATTGGCAAAAGGTCAATGATTACGCGAGTTGCTCAAACAATCCCAATCCGCTCCTCTGGACACATGAATACAACAATGCATGTTCTCAAGTATTTAAAAGGCAACCCCAATAAAGGACTTTTCTTTCCTACATTTGGTGATTTTCAATTGCATGCCTACAGTGATGCAGATTGGCATCATGTACAGAAAGCAGACAATCAATAATATGTTTTTGCATCTTCCTTTGTGCTGCTCTTATCTCTTAGAAATAAAAAAAAACAGTCCACTGTTAGTAGATCTAGTGATGAGGCTGAATATAGGAGCATGGTAGCTGTGGTTTGTGAATTCAAATGGATAACTTTTATTTTGAGAGATTTACAGCTTCCCATTTCACTTCCAATTCCATTGCATTTTGACAACAAGGCAACATTATATATGACTGCAAATCCAGTCTATCATGAGCGGACGAAACACCTCAATATCGACTGCCATGTTGTGAGAGAGCACCTTTCAACTGGTTTTATTCATACCTCTCACATCAATACTCAACATCAGCTTGTAGATATATTTACTAAATCCTTGTCTTCTGCTTCTTTCAATTTCCTTATGTCCAAGCTGGGATTAGTTGAATTCTCTCTCCACCAGCTTGAGGGGAGGGGGGTGTTGAGTATATTTATTTATTCTATTATTATTTAGCTGTAGTCTTTGTTCAGTTGGAAAATGTAACTATTTATACTGATGTGACATAAGTTCACGTGGGTTAGTATGGGGGTTAATGCAGGAAAGTGTACAGCTAGATATAATATCGTTAGTATTGGATATAAGAAGTTAGAAACTCATCTGAAATTTCTTTTTTCTTCTTCATACAATACTTTACAATTTTATGGTTTCTTTTAGATGTTACATTAATTAAACGAGTGTATAATGAATAAAGTCAACATGCAAATGCATGTCATAAAAGAATTAATTTATTATAAAATGTCAAATTTCATTATATATATAACTTTAAAATTACATTTACAAATATATAATTATGATAATTAATCCGCTCATATACTTCCTAATTCTATGTACAAAATAAAATTATATGATTATTATTAATTAATAAAACACTTTTATATATCAACCGGTGTATGTGTATATATAAATAAAAATAAAAAAATGGCAGGCAATCAGAGAGTTACCCAGCGGTGAAAGAATAGCGGGTATAGGTACGCCTTCGCACTGTACGAAGACGCTCAAATCTTCTTATCGGTTCTTCCATTTTCTCGTTTACGGTAACTTTATCAGTTATCACTGTCTTGGCCACCGTTTGCCACCGGAAGCCATTTTCATTGTAACAGAAGTTAATTTCCCCGATCTGATTTACATATTAAGTTTTATAGAGATTCATGAATTCTTTTTTTGGAAACAACACCGGTTTGCATGGATGAGAAGTAGAAGATCAAGCTTTTGAGTAGTCCTGTAGAAGAAATTGATAAGATCTTTCAACTATAGCGACGATCAATCGGCATTTTTATCTGCAATGGATAAGTCCAGCGCATTGGAGTACATCAATCAGATGTTCCCTACGGGTCAGTTTCTCTCTCACTCACTCGCAGCTTCTATATATGTTTACGTGATCTTGTTGCTTTTTCTTTCCTTCTTCGTTTATTATATTGTTGTTGCAGAGTTGTTTCGAGCTTGGAATGAGTTTTCCCCATTAAATTCGAAGAAATTTCTCTGTTAGACAATAGTGAAAAATTTGAGCCTTTGATGTTTGGGTTGTTGATGACATCTATTGTTATATTGTATTCTTAGTTTCAGTTTAAGATCTCAGTGGAAAAAGGGTATCAGTACCCAATTTAATCTTACTTACATTTTTTAATAATAATATTGGTAATTTGTTATTATAGTTGTCCTATGGCAATTATTAAGTGCAGATAATCTGCATTTGCTCAGATTAGGGAATAATATTTGGAACCACATAATTACATTTGATGTGATTACTTTAGTAATTTCAATAGGTGTTAATTACCATACCACTTTCTATTGAGTTGTGCTTGGAATCTTTGGGAACCAGCTCATTTTGCCTTGAGTTTCTTGGACTGCTATGGGTTGAGATTTAGTATGCTCATATTGGTTACATTTTTCTATTTTTTAGGTTTTATCTTCTGCCCTTTGACAACATTGTTATTGAACTTGTTGACAAATAAATTGGTTTGGGATTGAATTCTCTTACATGAGAGTCATTATTGGAGATGGGATAGAAAAAGGCAAAAATTGTAGAATCTAAAGGGATATGCAAAAGGAAGCATAGAATACAGTTTTGTACGATGAACATAGTTAATAATTTGGTGTAAATATCAAATGTATTCTTGAGGACAATATTTGGGATTCTCTGTGAGTTTAACTAGTTTCGTTACTATAACTAACTAATTTATTTATACATGATATCTCTTCATAGCAATTTATATGTCTGTTTTGATGCTTATGATCATATTGACACTATGAAGTATGGTTGATGTCCAGAGGCATCTTTATCTGGTGTTGAGCCTCTTATGCAAAAGATCCACAATGAGATACGCCGTGTTGATGCTGGAATACTAGCTGCTGTGCGCCAACAGGTTTTAGTCTTTGCTTTTGTTGTCTATGATATCATTGTTGTTTTACTATCATTGTACTTTTCTTCGAAAAAGGAAAATTGGAATATGTTAGAAAAATGGAGCTGTTTCTTCTTTCTGGTTATAATTTGTGCCATCTATCAAAATTATTGTCCCTTATAATGGTGTTGTTACTCTATATGGTGTTAGGAAGCTATGTAAGAGTTTTGAAAGTATGCATTGTCTTTGCATATGATACCTTATACAGATATGTGCTTTCTCTCTAAAGTTGGAATGATTTGAATTGTTCTCTCAATATGTCGATATCTACGGTTCTCTATTTGCTTGGTAGTCAATATTTTGAGTTTGACTACTATCATGTCGAGAATCCTTTGAGTTTTAAGGACTAAGTATTATCTTGTTGAGAATAGTTAGCATTGCCAACATTAATACTTAAAAGTTAAATCAATAGTCTTCTATGGAGTAATATTTGACAATGCTGGCAATGATGTCTACCTTTTCAGGCTTCTAAGTTTTCTTTCTGGCACCTCTATTTGCATGAGTTAAATGCCTGTTCTTTGTTATCACTTCTGGATGCAGCCTAGGGAAAAGAGAATCAGGAACTACTTCCATGTGATTTTTGTTCTAGACAACTTTACAATTAAAATTTTTATAATTTTAGCCCATATGATAGATTAATTTATTTATATTTTGTTCTGTCCCTTCTCTCTCTATCTATAAAAGAAAAAGAAAAAAAAGAAATAGGAGATGACAATGTTGTGTGGATAACATATCCTCATATAAAATGCAATGCATGATTGAAGGCAAAGGCAGCAAAGAAAGACTAAAAAGTAATGTTCTCTGGTCAACTTAACTTGGACCCCCTTCATAGGACCTTAGAAAATCACCTCGTCGCACAATAAATTAGTGGACAAACTCTTTTTTTTTGTAAATATGTGCACTCCTGTTAAAATATTCTTATCATAAAAAAAGCACAATTACAAAGAATTTTGGTAACGTTTTCTGCCTTCAAATTCTTTGCATTTAGAGCCATTGAAAGTCTCTAGACTTTAAGAATGCCCACATGCCCCTCAAAAGACAGTACAAAGGCTATCCTACATTGCTCGAGTTACCTTACAATGTAGAAAAGTTAGAAGACTGCACGTGCATTCTCATTGTAGCTACACTTACTTTCATTTGGAACTTTAACCATTGATCTTTCATCAAAGGGTCTCTCAAGCGTACAGGTTGAATTAGTCCAAATCCTATAAAAGCACCGACAAGTGTTTCCAATCAACTTGGAAAGCGTTTTAAATTAAGGCTGAAAAAATGTGGTTGTGTATTTTCCAATCATGATTCTTGCACGCATATGAGTATACATTCCCCCACCCCCTACTTTTTATGAGTTTTTGATGTCTCTGTGGTTGTGCTTCAGAGCAACTCTAGAACCAAGGCCAAGGAAGATCTTGCTGCTGCTACACGTGCTGTAGAGGTGAGCAAGTCAGATACAAATTCCTTTTTAATCTTAACCAAATTGGTCTCAAGGACACTGTGTATTCCTAACCTTTGATTTTTATTGGTGTGATTCTCAATGTGCGACCATACTGCTTTTGCCCAGCAAAATTTATTCTTCTACGAATTTATTTTGATTTTTTTTCTTTTGGGAAAGCAGGAACTTATGTATAAGATACGAGAGATAAAAACGAAAGCTGAGCAAAGTGAGACAATGGTTAAGGAAATATGCCGAGACATTAAGAAATTAGACTTTGCAAAGAAGCATATAACAACTACTATTACTGCTCTTCATCGTCTTACCATGTTGGGTTAGTCAGTTTTCTTCTTTTATCACTTGGTTGCATCCCCTGGTGTCTTATAATCTTGGCTAACTATCAATTTCACCTTGAACTTTTTGAGTAGTTGCAATTTTACCCTATATCGGCTTTTGTACCTTGATCACTCTAAACTTATCAACCTAGTTGCAATTATACACTAACTTGCTTTTAGGGTGCAATTGCACCCTAAAAGTGAATTAGAGCACTCTGAACTTATCACTTGTTGCAATTTCACCCTAAAAAACAAACTAAAGTTGAAATGATAATTAAAATAATATAAAAATGGACTCCATAACCAATCCAAACTTAATTAAATGCAATACATAATATTTCAATTAAAAGAAAGAATTTATCAGTTTGCGTATTTTATCCTTCAGCTTATTATCTTTCTCCCCTTGTAGGAAATTAAATAATGGCTGTAACGACAGTTACCAAGGAATCACCATGTTTGTTTTGTCATCCTAGGAAGTGTAACCTTGAATTATTATGCAACTCATTATTTTTGCATCTTCAAATTGGTTTAACTTTAAAATCAAGGACGCAATTTTGATTTATTTATTTATTTATTATATGAGTGCTCGTGTTTGATTTTATTATTTATTGTTTAAATACTGAATTATTATGCAACTCATTATTTTTGCATCTTCAAATTGGTTTAACTTTAAAATCAAGGACGCAATTTTGATTTATTTATTTATTTATTATATGAGTGCTCGTGTTTGATTTTATTATTTATTGTTTAAATACTTGGATTGGTTATGGAGTCCATTTTTTACATTGTTTTAATCAAAATTCCAGCCTTAGTTTATTTTTAGGGTGTAATTGCAACAATCGACAAGTTTAGGGTGTTGTAATTCACTTTTAGGGTGCAATTGTACCCTTAAAGCAAATTAGGGTGTAATTGCAACTAGGTTAATAAGTCAAGGTGCCTAGGATACAAAGGTCAATTTGAAGTGAAATTGCAACTGATCAAAAAATTCGGGGTGAAATTGAAGGTTAGGCCTATAATCTTCCACTCCTTTTTTTATTTTCTATTTTTATTTTCATAATAGACTTGTAAATAGATCAATAATAAAAGGTATTCTTTTTTGTATTTCACATAGCAAGATTGGAATCAATATTCTATATTGAATTAATGGAGGTATTCTTATTGGAATTCATATTGAGCGATATAATATTTGATAAAATGTAAAGGACAAATGAAAACGTCTTCTGATAAAAAGCTTCACATGAAACTGTCATTGGTTATCCACGTTAAAGAGTAAAAGACTTGTTTTTTTTTTTTTTTGGTTTTTTTTGTGCGAATTCTGTGTCAATATTTGCAAATGTGATGCTACTCTATCAAACCTTAAGTTTTTCATGTGTTTATCCAGCTTTTGCCAAACTTTTTTTTAGTATAATTGGTTCTGAATTGTGACTGACATGGTGAGTGGTTTACTTGTTAACTGACATCATATCATACTGAACCCATGATGATTTTGGGTTGGAGATCCCATTCCAAACCTTTGATTTGGATCATCCATATTCTACAGATAAATTTTGCGTTGCACCCCCAATATTGGAAGATGCAATTTTCTTTCCTCCGGAATTAGTCTAATTCCCAATATTGAAAAGCTTTGAGAAACTTGGTATATCGCCATGACAAGTGAGTAGCACTGCAGCATCTTTAGATGTGGTAATGTAGAATAAATTGGGAAGATCATACAGGAATATGGAACTGCAGCTAATGTCTTACCAAAACTTCAACCATCTCCTATTTCCCACTTTCCACTGGGGAAATAATTTGTTGCATAATCCTTTCCATCCAACTTTATTGTTGCCTTATGCTATAGACCCAATCCATGCAGCCTATTTGATCTTGCTGAATAATCATCATCTTGCATCGAATTGGCTTTCTGTTACACATCTCCACTAATCTCTCATCTCATTGGCAAATCCCCATGAGTATTTCTATAAAAGAGCCTGGCTAGAAATGTTCTCTCTGTGAAGATGACCTGATATTGAATTTCTGTCCGAGAAGTTTTGCCATGAATAGGAAACATAGAGAAAGTCTAATCTGCATCTAATAAAAGTCAATTTCCTGTGTTTTCAGAAAAATATTATTTCTTCCCTACCATAGTCGTGAAAAGTGTGCCTATGCTTGCCTGACTCAAGGCGCAGGTCCTGGAGCCTCAAGAGCAGAAAGGCGGGCAACCTCACTGAGGTGTGCGCCTTGGGAAAAAAGCCCTTGCCTAGGCGCAAGTGCAAGGCACAAAAAAGCGCGCCTTTTTTTTATGCTGAGCAACAGTTTTTAGGGTTTTTCTTTTTAATATATGCAATATGATTGTGTTTATATAGACTTCTATTAAATAAAAAAAAAAAAAACTGAAAGAAATAGAAGATATTGGTAGATTTGCAGAAGGAAAAATGTAGAGAAGTCTTCTCCAATTCAGCAATTGATTAGCATAAAAGAAAGATGTCTCTCAACTATTCTTTTAATTTTTTTCTCAATTTTCCACTCTCTCTCAATTTGATTCAACAATCAGCTTCTACTCCCTTCTCTTTCAAGTCCAATAGCTTCAAGTATGAGCTGTTATGCTGCTGAATCTTTTGCTGATTTGTATTGCTGAAATTTAGGCTAATGGTTATTACTTTTAGTTGCTAATGGTTATTACTTTTAGTTTAGGGCTTCTGAAATTATTATTTATTCAAATCTATGGTTATAATTCTTAACATCTTATTATCCATTACTTTCAATTATATTTAGATATTCCAAGTATTAAATAGTGTGATTTAAGATTTTATATGTTTTATATTATTAATATGAATTTTTTGTTCAATTTTCAGAACTATTTACATTTTTCCAACTTTTTTTTTTTTTATTGTTGCACCTCACCTCGCTCAGGCGCGTGCCTTCGCCTTGAGCATTACGCCTAGGCTCCAAGACCCCTCTGCGCCTTGGTGTGCTTTGTGCCTTTAACAACTATGTTCCCTCCTAGGCATTTTTTCACATACTGAAAACAATGGGAGTCGAAACAACAATGGTGTTGAACGGTGAATCTGATAAAGTTCACTGTAAGTAACAGATATGCAAAGAACCCTCCTTACACCCTAATATAACTGCAAGGCTATCTGTTTTCTCACTTTCATATTCACTCACTGGAATGGTCTTTTATTTATGTTTGAAAACCTGAGACAGCCTCAGAATGAAGATGATTCACCTTTGAAATTGTAGCTGATTACCATATTCAATGTTTGAATTCCTCTAGCTGGGTTTCTTAAAATAGTTTTAACTTTTTGAGGTACCCGTCATTGATCTATTTTCCATATCATTCGGGTTAGCTGTTTTTCTTTATTCTTTGTGATTCTAGTGTGTTAGTGCTTCTACTGTGCTTATTTTGGCATTTAAACATTCTTCCTGTGATTTATTCATGAAATCATTATTGCATATTTTTTTTTTGAATTACATCCTTTTCCACTCTTTCTTTAGTTGCTATAACAATAGTATAGACTCAGAATTTGAAACGCCTGAATTTTTCCTTTTGGATTTGATATTCTTTTATATGTAAATTTCTAACACGTCTTTCTGTGGTGGCAGTGTCGGCTGTTGAACAGCTTCAGTTAATGGCTTCTAAACGGCAATATAAGGAGGCAGCTGCTCAGTTAGAGGTGAATTATTCATTATTGCATCATTAATTTTTTGATAATTAAGTGATGAATTACATTTACGGCCTTTTTAATGTTAATTTTGAGATTTGTGGCCTTGTATGCCTTGCTTTTGTAGCGCTACAATGTGATTGGTTTGTCCCATCTATTTTATATTTTTTTGTTGGCTATGAATGCAAGACTATATTGGGGCTTTTTGAACAATAAATTGCCTTTGTTGATATTTTACTAGTGTTAGGACCCGCGCGATGCGCGGAGCAATATTAAAAGGTAAAATAATCTTTTATAACATCATTTAAAAATAATAAAATGATCGTGAAATGCATTATAAATACCCGAACCTGTTTAAATACCGGATTAGAAATTAGGTACCAGAACCTGTTTAGAAATTCACCTTTAATAACTGAACCTGTCCCTAACAGATTATAATTACCTGTTTAAATACCGTTTACATTAAAAATATATATATATATTTTTATTTTTTAGAAATAAAAAATAAGTAAAAATTATAAAATTATTATTTCGATTTAATAAAAAAATATAATATAAATATTGAATATAATTACAGCATTAATTATAATTAAAAAGGTGTGTGTGTGTGTGTGTGTGTATAATTTGCTTTAGAAAAATAATTAGTTTAAATATTTTTGGAATATTAATGAAACGGGTAACGGGTAGCAGGTACCTGAGTTCTTGAATCCGACCCGAACCCAATACGGGTAGTAAAAATACTATCTGAACCCGTCCCAAACCTGTTTATTCCCTACCGAAATCTGCCAAAATCAGATTGGATCTGATCGGATACCCGTCGAGTCGGATAAAATTGTGATCCCTAATTAAGATATGCTTTCTTAAATATCCTGCGAAGTCTTTCATTAATAATAGCAAAAGTCATATGTGTGATGACCTATATCAAAAAATTCACACATACTATTAATGTATTTTTCAATAGTGATAATAATTTTGAAATTTAACTAATTATATTGAAATAAGAAATTAAGTATTTTTTATTTTTATGTTTATGATTTAAATAATCAGCAAAGACAGTCAATAATCGCATAGTCAGTTATGACCACTACTATCAACAAAATCTCACTAAGCCAGACTTAACATACTTAATGCTATTCTTCAAGTAGATTCGATCAAAAATTTTGAAATTTACACTAATCTATATTGAAATAAGAAAATTAAGTCATTTTTTTCATTTCATGTTTAATGACTTTATAGATCTCATAATAAACTTCAATTTGTTTCTTTATATTTTTCAATAGTGATAATAATTTTGAAATTTAACTAATTATATTGAAATAAGAAATTAAGTATTTTTTATTTTTATGTTTATGATTTATTATAAATAATTTTTTTTTATTTGAAATATTAATGTTTTACTTATTTAGTATAGTGTGTTCTAAGCATGTGGATGTTCTACTTGTTTAAAAATTATCGTATCATTTACATTCCCGTATTTCATGTCCTGTGTCATGCAACCTAGCTTCTGGTATATGAGACTACTCCATACATCAAGCTAATCAACCAAAATTTTTTTTTTTAATTACCAATAAAAAATGAGTGTTTTTTTTTTTTTTATAATTTATTTTTTTATGTCATTGAAATAAGAATAATTTTTATTTTATGTATTATAATTTTATTACAAAGGTAATTGCTATTTATTTGAAAATTAATGTAATTTTATATTACTTATTAGAGTGGTAAATGTGTTTCTAAGGTCGTGAATTATCCACTTTTTTAAAAAATTATGTTCTAATTTATGATTTTTTAACATTATTTATATATTGTATTTATATTTTTTAAATTATTTATATATTGTTTATTTAATGGTAATATATTATTTATTCACACTTTTTAAGTGTGTAGATTACTTATTAATTGTTTCGTAATAAAAAATAAATTTATATTAATATGTTAATGTTAGAGATAATCTTTTTTATATATATTATTTTGATAAACACATTATCTAAAAACATAGAATAACTTATCTTCTTACAATTGTGTCTTATCTTCTTACAATTGTGCTAACTCTCATTACACGTGGCAATTTCAGATACTTACACTTGACTGTCTTCTAGGTAGACTTTTCTGCTTTTATATATTATATAGATTATGCTTACTGAGAGTATAACATTAGAAAGAAGAGTTTATGTTCTCTAAACTAAAGTATTATTGGATTTAGATTTGTGAATAACAATAGAGAGCCATATGTGTAACATAAAGGTGCTATTGAAGAAGGTATATGCAAAAAAAAAAAAAAAAAAAAAAAAAAAAAAAAAAAAAAAGGCGAAAAAGTATTAGCGAGTATTGATTTATCTCTAGATATGTTGCCCTAGAAACATGTTCTCAACTAACGAATCTCGTTTTTCTGCATCTGAATCTTTATGGAGACGTAAAAGGTTTGATTGCCTCATTATGTAGTTTTGTACATTGATAGTGTTAGGGCGGAAAAAAAAAAAAAAAAAAAAAAAAAAAAAAAGGGAAAAGGTATTAGAGTATTGTTTATTCTCTAGATATGTTGCTAAACATGTTCTCAACTACGAATCTCGTTTTTGCATCTGATTTTATGGAGAGTAAAGGTTTGATTGCCTCATTATGTAGTTTTGTAATTGATAGTGTTAGGGCGGATTGCTTTTTATGGACTAGGGTTTCCTTAAATCATACTATAGGACTACCTATTGAAGAATTGCATGTTCTAGTTATTTGATCAGTGTATTTATCTATTTTTCATTTTCTACTTCCTTCTGAATACCTTCTTTTGCAATGATATGAAATCCTTGTTCCTATTTGGTATAACAAAGACACAAGTCTTTAATTCCTTCCTACAATAATGGTTCTTACTTATTGGATTCCACTTTATCTTTGTTTCCCCAGTACATTATTTTTGACTTGTTTGGAGAACTACTTATTGATTATGCTTGTCATCGTGTTTAATATTATCGTTTCATGCTATGTTCCAGGCAGTAAACCAATTATGTAGTCATTTTGAAGCCTACAGGGATATACCAAAGATTACAGAGCTCAGAGAGAAGTTTAAAAATATCAAACAAATACTCAAGTCTCATGTGTTTTCGGATTTTGCAAGGTATGTAGTCATGTTTGGGAAATTAAAAATTAGATGTAAAAGGTGAGGGAAGAGAAATATTTTTATTTTGTTTGGATAGATGGCAGGGGAAGGAATTTAATATTGAAAGGACAAATATATCCATATCTTTTAATTTAGATTTAAATTGTCTATTGATTTTAAGGATAAAATAGAAAATTTGAAAAGAGCCAGTTTCCCTTCATTAAATTGAAACCGTGTACAGCTTGAATTGTGTAAAAGCAGTTCCAACTCCTAACAAGGGAGTTGAGAGGAATTATTAACCTTCTTTTCCCCCACTTAAAAAGGTGAAATCCCAAACAAGATAAGAGGATGATTTCCCTTGATTACCTTTCCTTCCCTCTCAATTCACTACAACCTATGCATAGTCTTAGTGTTTATTCTCACATAAGACTATTTTATTTCTTATGATTATGACACACGTTCTTATGAGTATGACACATGTCCGCTCCATTCTCTCAATTTCATTCTGGTAGAATATGTGTATATGCAGGACTTCTTGAGAGTCTATCATTTGTGATGAAATAGCATTTTGTTTGGCCAGAGTAAGAAATTATTTGTTTGTCAAATGTAACTATTGCCCTTTATTTGGTAGTTTAGAGAATTCTCCTTGACTTTGACACGCTGATGGGATGATTGGCATCTAGAATGTAATTGCTTTTGTCTTCCTAGTTGTTTAAATTGTATGAATTGTTGGGTTTTCTGACAAATTGATTGATTGGGTGATTGAGATTTGAATTTTAGAGTGCTTTTCTCCTAATCCAAGAGATGGCAAATCATGTAGTTTTTGGACCTTTCTGCATTGCCATAGGTAAGATTGGCTTTCGAATTTCTTAAAGATGATAGATAAACTAATTGCTGACAAATTCATTGTTGGAAACTGAATGAAGATGTTTTTTGTGAAAACCTTTTCTCCACCATTTGTCCATTGAGTAAAATTTAGTTAGTGCAATCAAAATGTTGAACAATGTCTCATTTATTGGGCAGACAACTTGTATAAGCATTTGAGTTATCAGAGTTTAAGTGTCATCACTGGAATGGAGAAGTAATGACTTATTAGATATTTAATTAGTTGAAGCTACTGACTTTCTTGGAAGTTCCAGTTTAAAGAAAATGATATGGCTAAGCTCTTCTTTTTTAATTTTTTTTTTCTTTGCAATTTTGATCTCAGCTTAGGTACTGGGAAAGAAACGGAAGAAACTAACTTACTGCAGCACTTATCTGATGCATGCTTGGTTGTTGATGCTTTGGAGCCATCTGTGAGGGAAGAGTTGGTAAATAATTTTTGCAGCAGGGAGCTTACTTCATATGAACAAATCTTCGAAGGAGCCGGTTTGTTAATTTGCTTATTCTTAATCCCTTTTGTCCTGTATTGTTTATGTGCATATGCTTTATTTTGTAATTCTGTTTTCTAAATATAATAGAGCTAGCTAAGCTGGACAAAACTGAACGGAGATATGCATGGATCAAGCGTCGAATAAGAACAAATGAGGAGATATGGAAGATCTTTCCTCCTTCATGGCATGTTCCTTATCGGCTTTGTATCCAGTTCTGTAAGAAGACAAGGTTGGTCGTATATTTCTTTTGGTATACAATCTTAAACAGCTGTCGATTGAATATATGAAAACTTGGATGATTGAATAATTTGATGAGGTTCATTGTTGAGATCAAGTATACCATCTGATGTATATGCAATGTTTTTGCATTATCCTGGCTTTTAAGTTTTTAAGGGATTCTTGAGTTCATGCCACCGTGTCTTCAACCCCCTAGTATGCTTAGGGAAGTTAATCAAATTCAATTCAGTCTCTATGATGCTACAAAATGTTTTTGGCATATGCTTCCTAAATAAACTTAACTGATGCATCAGCATACAGTTTGAGACGCTTGGATTTGTTCTGCATGTTCATCATATCCAGGTTGTAAACCAACTTAAACAGATCCAATAAAATATAATTTTGTACTATAATATTAATTTCAATGTATTCATACCTATTCTTTATTGGAAAAATTTGAAAAGAAAATAGAGAGTAAAATATACGGCATCTGGTTAGCATTTAAGACAATAAATTTTGAAGGACCATGAACAACCTAACATTGTGGTACATAGTACACTGTAAATTTTTCACATGGTTTGTGTTTTCAGGAAACAATTAGAGGGAATACTTGATAATATCAAAGAGAAGCCAGATGTTGGAACACTCTTGTTGGTAAAAACTTTGATTTTTACATGTCATTTAATTATTCAGTTATTTCTCTAAAGCTAGTGAAGCTTGGTATGCAATTGTAAACCTTGAATTTGTTTAAACCTATTTTGCATGTCTAACTTGGGGCTGGGAGCATCTGTTTGACCATTTTGCTGATCTTGGAATTTTAGGTCAAGTTGACTGAATCATATTGTTGAACTGCCTTAACATTATGCCCTTTTGGTTTCGCCTGTAATTTGTTTTTAATTGCTACCTAAATTATTGGATCTATTGGTCGAACCATCAATTAGGTACTTTCATGTCTTGAATTGATATCATATATATTAGTATGTTTTTGTTCAGTCTGAAAGATGGAGAGATTGCATGCTAATCAAGGGAGCAAGGAATCCTTTATAAAATGTATGCTGTAGGTGAGTAGATGCACACATATACATATTGCAAGAAGTGATGGTGAGATGGTGGAGAATCTTACTAATTGCTAAGTTTTGAACAATTTTGTCTTGACTTTCTTATCGTCATGAATTTCTATGGTTGTTGGTACACTATCAGACATAAGATTGTTGGTATGACCTTGGGTGAATCATACCTGAAAAACCAGTTGTTGAAATTGGGGACTCAAAATTCATATAAACCTCATTTTGAAATCCCATACGTAATTTGGGATCCAAGTTCGTTACCTTGCAACTAGAATCTAGATATCCCACCTTACTGAACAGTCTTGGCACCTATGATGGGTTGTTTTTGTGTAGGTTTTTCTCTAGGGCTGGACAAACATAGCAATGCCAGTGTCACCACCCACTTTCATCAATTGCAACTTAGAGGGCCGGTGTTTGGCTCTGATACCAATTGTTATGACCTTAAGAGGAGAATAATATGTTAAAAGCTAGCCATTGAGGTTGGAGAGTCCAAGTTCATATAAACCCCATATTGAAATCTAGGGGGGAGCTTTTGGTCACCAACGCAAATTGAACCAACTGAAAGTTTTTTTAAACGTAAACCAAACCAAAATGGAATAGTGTATAAAATCAAACTGAACCAGTTCGATTGTAATTATTTTTGTTTGATTTGGGCTTTTACTTATGTTTAATGAAAACTCAATTGAACTGGAAAATTTTCTCTGTTAAAATTTGTAATTTTAATGTGGAAAAAATATTCTCATATAATGTTCATCAATAGGGATATATATAAAAAAGCCTAGCCATTGAGAGGTTGGAGAGTCCGAAGTTATCTATTAAACACGATCCCCATATTGAAAATCTAGGGGGGGAGCCCTTTTTGGATCACCAACGCAAATGAACCAACTGAAATTTTTTTTCAAACGTTAAAACCAAAACCAAAATGTGAATCAGTGTATAAAATCAAACTGAAACCAGTTCGATTGGTTAATTGATATTTTTGTTTGATTGGGCTTTTACTATTGTTTAATGAAAAACCTCAATTGAACTGAAATTTTTCTCTGTTAAATTGTGCGTTAAAGTTTTAATGTGTGGAAAAAATATATTCTCATATAATGTCTCATCAAATACGGATAGGTATAATAACATATTTATCATTCATCGTAATATATAATTATAATATATACTACATCATAGCCATACAATACAGAGATACTTATAGAACTTATTAGAGTCTATACTTCCTAAGCAAAAAAACTCTATTTACATATTAGTCCCTTTAACACTCCCCTCTCAGTTTGGATGCGATAGATGTTAATCATGCTACCAACTTGTTACAAAGATAGTTAAATTCGTCGAGGCTCCAATTTAGTAGGCTCTCTTGTAAGAGATTATCTCCCAAACGTGTTTCACTTGTCTTCTAACCGTTTACCCTGTAGAGATAAATTACTTTCTTGTGTATCTTGTTCTACGAATGACAATTGACCAATCTAAGTTCCATCGATTATGTTTTGTGTTCATACACTTTGTTTCAGGAACTAGACGAATGAAATGACAATCAATCTCGATATGTTTTGTTTGTTCATGGAATACTGGATTTGATGCAATGTGAAGAGCAACTTGATTATCACACCATAACTTGCAAGCAAGGACGACTTGAAGCCAATTTCTTCTAACAACTTCTGAATCCAAATTAATTCACGAGCAGATTGTGCCAAGCTCGATATTCTGATTTAGCACTCGATTGTGAGGCTACATTTTGTTTCCTGCTCCTCCATGATATCAAGTTTCCACCCACAAAGACATAATATCCTGAAGTTGATCTTCTATCAACCTTTGAACTTGCCCAATCTGCATATGAAAACCTCAATATCCAAATGCCCATGATTAATGTAAAGGAGGCCACAGCCTGGATTACCTTTCAAGTAGCACAAAATCTGTCCTAAAGCTTCCCAATGGATAACAGTAGGAGAAGACATAAACTGGCTTAAGACGCTCACAGAGTGAGCAAATATCTGGACGTGTTACCGTAAGATAATTCAGTTTGCCCACCAATCTTCTATACATCTCAGGATCATCAAATAGCTCACCACCAATTGAATCATCAAATAGCTCACCACCAATTGATGAAAGTTGCAAATCAGGAGTCATTGGAGCACTGCATGGCTTGGCACCCAACTTTTCATTTTCCTTCAGTGATACCCGCTGAATCACTCCCTGTAATAACAGTGTCTTCAACATAAATCACAAGTAGAATCAAACCAGTCTTAGTACTTCTGAAAAATACAGAATGATTAAAAGTACTCTTCTGCATGCTAAATTGGTATACCACATTGCAAAATCTACCAAACCAAGCTTGAGAACTCTATTTAAGGCCATAAAGAGATTTTCGAAGTTTACACACTTTACCTGACTCCCCATGAGCAACAAAGCCTAGTGGTTGCCCCATGTAAACTTCTTCTTGAAGATCTCCATGAAGAAAGGCATTCTTAACATCCAGCTGATGCAAAAGGCCAGTGAAAAGTAGCTGCTAAAGAAATAAACAAACGAACAGAAGACAATTGGCTACAGGAGAAAAAGTATTAGAGTAATCAAGGCCATAAATCTGAGAATAGCCCTTAGCAACTAATCGAGCCTTGAGACGAGCAATAGATCCATCAAGATTCATTTTAACGTTGAAAACCCACTTACAACCAATAGCTTTTTTACCTGCTGGGAGAGGCTCAAGATCTCAAGTACCATTAGTATCTAAGGTAGCCATCTCCTCTTTCATTGCTGCACACTAACCAGGATGGGACAAAGCTTGGACAACAGTTTTAGGGATGGGACAAAAGCTTGGACAACAGTTTTAGGGGTAAGGGAGACAGAGTCTGGTGGTGGTAGAGACAGAGTCTAGGTTACTTACAAAACAACAAGATGAAGAAGAAAGATGATCATAACTTACAAAAGAAGAAATAGGATAGGTACACTTGCATCTACCTTTTCGAAGAGCAATGGGAAGGTCAAGGTCTGACTGAGGAGTGGATGGCATAGGCTCAGGTTGAGTGGAGGGAACCGGATCTTCTGTTTGAGCGGCAGGTGGGGGAAGTGAGTCAAGAGTTCCTGGTCTCCTGGAATAAACCTGTTCAAAACGAAGGAGGGCAGATGCTGGTGCAGGAGGGGGAATAGGAGCAGGAGCAGTTGTAGCGCAGGTGCAAGTTCAGGAATAGGAGCAGGAGAGTTAGGAAATTGTTGGATTGCGTAGATTAAAAGCTTATCATCCTCCTCCTCACTCTTATATATAGAAGAAGGAAAAAGAAATTGTTGGATTGCGTAGATTAAAAGCTTATCATCCTCCTCCTCACTCTTATATATAGAAGAAGGAAAAAGTGGAGTATTCTCAAAAAATGTGACATCTACAGAAACAAGATAACAGTCAAGATCAGGAGAGAAACAACGATTCCTGTTTTGATGGCGAGAATACCCAAGCAAAACACAATGAAGGGACTTTGGATTTAATTTGGAAACCTGTGGACGAACATCCCGAATAAAACAAGTACAACTAAAAATATGAGGTTCAATGGGGAATAGAAGCTTGGAAGGAAACAAGACACTATAAAGAATTGCACCATTAAGCACAGAAGAAGGCATGCGATTAATAGACACTATAAAGAATTGCACCATTAAGCACAGAAGAAGGCATGCGATTAATCAGAAAACATGCAGTAGAGACAGCATCCGCCCAAAATTTAGAGACCTTCATTTGGAATAGAAGTGCCCTAGCAACTTCAAGAAGATGTCGATTTTTCTTTTTGCAACCCCATTTTGAGGAGTATCAACATAAGATGTTTGATGAAGAATACCATTCTGTGACATATAAAATTGGAAGGAACTAGATAGATATTCTTTGGCATTATCACTTTGCAATATGTGACAGAGGTATTAAATTGAGTTTTAATCTTAGCACAAAAGGAACAGAAAATAGAGAATATCTCAAAACGAGTTTTCATTAAAAATAATCAAATAACACGAGAATAATCATTTACAAAGGTTACAAAATACCAAAAGCCAATTTTAGAAATAACAGGACATGGACCGTAAACATCAGAATGAACTAACTCAAAAAGGGATGAAACACGTTTTATTGATTCGAGGAACTAAAGGTAAACAATGATGTTTCGCAAATTTACAAGATTCACATTCTAAAATTGATAAAGATTGAAACTGCGGACACAACTTTAAAGTAGACAATGGAGGATGACCCAAACGACAATGAATCTCTAGGGGAGATAGAGCACCAGCACAAGCTAGAGATAACAAAACTTGTTCATCCAGAAGATAAAGGCCACTAGACTCACGTCCTCTACCAATATTCCGCTTCGTCAAAAGATCCTGAAACACACAATAGGTAGGATAAAATTTAATACAACAATTCAGTAGACGAGTAATTTTGCTAACAGACAATAGATTGAATGAAAAACGAGGCAAACAAAAAACAGAAGACAACGGAAGAGATGGGATGGGACAAAACGAGGCTAAACAAAAATAACAGAAGTACAATCGGAAGAGATGTTTGGTATTGAGGATTGGGCCGGTGCCAATACAATTGACAAAAGAGTAACAAGAGATGGGATGGGATTGGCGGTGCCAATACACTTGACAAAAGATGTAGACCCATCAGCTAAAGTGACATGACGATTAAATTGTTCAGGTTCTTTTAATGAGGATAAGCGACTAGGGTTACCTGTCATGTGATCTGTGCAACCAGAATCAATGACCTACTCTGATGAGGTAGACATAAGACATGTAGTAGGAGTACCTAAATTGGCAGCAGCAGCAATTGAGGAATCAATAGACTTAGAAGAACGGTATCTAGAGAGCTCAATGTACTCCGCAGCAGAAATTGTTGCAGTGTTGTCAGTAGAAGTAACTACAGAATCTTGAGTGGCCATATTTGTCCTTGACGGCTTATTTATCAGTTTCTTGCAATACCGTATAGTGTGACTAGGTTCATAGCAATAATGGTAGATAAGAATGCTCGCCTCCCAATTAATTGCTCCAATACTACGGTTATTTCCTCCTCTTCCTCTGTTTCCTGGTTGCCTAACTATCTGATTACGATCATAAGGGCACTATTATCATAAGGGGAAGGGGTATGAGAACCTTCAGTATATAGTAATCTAGTGAAAGTCTCCTGAAGAGAGGTAACGTCAGTGCCTGAAAGAACCTGTGATTTGACAATTTCAAAAACCGGAGCAAGACCTGCAAGAAAACTCATTACAGCCATTTGTTCTCGCTGAGTCTGTTGAACCTTAACATCGGGGCTAAAAGGCAATTGTTGAACCTTAACATCGGGGCTAAAAGGCAATAAAACATTAAGTTCCTCGTAAATCTTCTTAAATTTCATGAAATAAACTGTGAGGGGCTTATCTTGCTGGTCAGCCTGATAAAATCCTTTGCAGACCTCATACATACGAGACAGATTATCTTTTCCTGAATACAAGAATTTTAGATATTCCAGTAATTTTTTAGCAAACTCACAATGATTAATTAATCCAACCACTTCACTCTCAATAAAATTTCGAATCAGTATAAATAATTTAGCATTTTCCCTTAGCCAACTTTGTCTAGTGTCACCAGTTGGTAGATCATCAATTAGATGATCATCTTTTTCAACACTCCTCAAATAAATTCTAATTTTCTTACTACAATCTAAATAATTAGTTTCTTTCAATTTATGTTCTGTGATTTTATTTGTTGCTGGCATCAATTCGGTAATAGTAGCTTTAGAATATGTAGATTCTATACCCATTAATTAAAACTAAACACCTCAACAGCAACTAAGAAACAGAGGCACCAAATAATAGCACGAACCCAACAGAACAGTAGCAACACCAAAAGGAACCGAAAGCCGCAAACAGCAGTAGCAAAAAACAAAGAAAGCGCCTATTAGATGTTGCTGGAGCAGAAAACTACCCACTGGAAAAGACTCTTGACGCTGAGTCGATCCTTTGACGCTGAGTCGATCCGTAGGATGAAACCAATAGTCGGAAACTGATGGAACGCGCCTCCACTCGCCGGCGCAAACAGCAGTAGCAAAAAACAAAGAAAGCGCCTATTAGATGTTGCTGGAGCAGAAAACTACCCACTGGAAAAGACTCTTGACGCTGAGTCGATCCTGTAGGATGAAACCCAATAGTCGGAAACTGCTGGACGCGCCTCCACTCGCCGGCGTGTGAGACGTCAGATTATTCTGACGGCGCGTGAGGCCCATTGGCCGGTCTTCAAGCCACCGGATTTGGTGGAGAGGCTGATCGGAGGTCACTCTCCCTCCCTTGGGTGGCGGTGAGACAAATGCACAAGCCTAGGTGGGAGACCTAGACTGACAGTCACGAAACATTGAGCTTCTTGCCGGAAGCGTCAACGCAAAAAAAAAAAAAAAACCACTAACGAGCCAAAGGCTCTGATACTATGCAATTTTAATGTGGAAAAAATATTCTCATATAATTTTCATCAATAGGGACACATATATATACATATACAGGATACCATAAATCTATTAGGAATCTAACTCCTAACTGAACTTTATTTACAACCAGTCCTTAACAAAACCAAAATAGAACCAAATTTGTAAAATTCCTAACCTCACTGAACACTGTGAATAGAACTGGGTTAGAAGTTCGGTATTTGGTTTTTTTTGAACCTGCTCTGCATTGAAATCCCATATTGTTCTGTTTTTTGAAATTCCAATCTAGCAAACATTGCCTGTTCTAGAAAGCAGAATGAGCTACGTGGTGTATGATGCCAATCTTTTCCTAATGTATGACATGTGAAACTGTCTTGTAAAATTTCCATATTCACATGTTCGAAAACATTGTCATGAAGAATTGCGAATCACATTGTCTAGGACTGTTTTTGCTTGCTAGTATTTCTTTTTTCTCCTTCTGGTTTTGGTCAAATAAAGGGAGGCTTTGCAGATCTACTCTGCTAAAGCCTGCAAGGCTGAAAGTTTGGCACATTTGTACAACCTTTTTGGTCATGCACAATGCACAAGGAGTTGCAAATGCTACATCATTGATCCTTAATAAGAATTACATTGTAGTGTAGTGTGTAAGCCCCCTGAAACTTTGTATCTCAGTTGTCAATGGCACTAAATCTCCTGCCACAGATCACTTTGTTCTGCATATTTCTACTTTCGGATATTTGTTCAAAGTTGCTTGCCCAGTGCATCTTTTGTGTTTTTGGATTTGTTTTGAGTAACTGCTATCTATTATATGAAAGTTAATTATATCAATTGTGCCTTTAACCCAGTATAATTGTGTTGGCCAAATGAGAAATTTTGGTTTATAATGTTCTCTATTATGTCTCTGGCGATATTGATTATATCTGATTGTTCATTATGATTAGTGTTCCCCCTCTCAAGATTTCTGGGTGTCATTTTTATTTCTACTGATGCTTATGTTGTGACAATTCTGTGCAGGCACTACAACGAACTTTAGAATTTGAGGATGAATTGGCAGAAAAATTTGGAGGCGGCGCTAGCAGTCGAGAGATTGGAAATGAGATTGAAGAAATTGGTAGGGACAGCAATAGTCAAAGTGTGTCTGATATTAGAAAGAAGTATGAAAGAAAGCTTGTTGCTAATCAAAGAAGTGAGGCTGAAGTATGTATTGTGCTCCTCCTCTTAGAATCGTCTCAAATTCTTAGTTGCTATATGATTTAGTCAACATTTTCACTTTTGGTTTTGTGTGTACAGGAGAAGGATGGAAGTAAAGATTTATCAGTTCCAGGAGCTGGGGTAGATGTTTCCTATTTCTATAGTCTTATCACATATCGTTTACTTACAGCACTTAATAGATCACATAGTTGCTTAGATGTCTCATGTCTAAAGATGAGTGCTACCTTGTGCTTGCTTTTGGGCATTAATTGATTTGATAGTCTTTCATTTGCATAAACTGAAAATTGGAGCTGATTAACAATTTCCAAGTCCTTGTTGCATAGCTTAAAGACTTGGTAGATGGACTTTTATTCGACTCCAAATGAATGACAATGATTCATTATGCATGGATAGACTACGTTGTGTATATATATATATTGTTTTTGGTGTTGGGTGGGGGAGGGCATTAGAATATAGTTTGTCTTCATTTTGATATTCGTTTATTTTGTTTCCGATTCGTTCATAGACTAACATTGATTAATAACTATTTGAGCTAAATGATATTGCAGTTCAACTTCCGTGGAATTATTTCATCTTGCTTTGAGCCACATTTGACAATTTATGTAGAACTAGAACAGAAGACTCTGATGGAGAATCTGGAAAAACTTGTTCAGGTAGTATGTGTCTATAAATCCTTAACATGTGCCTTTATGTTGTGCTACTTGTTCAGTAAATTGCAATTTCTGTTTTAGGAGGAAACATGGGATATAGAGGAGGGCAGTCAGAATAATGTTCTATCCAGTAGCATGCAGGTAAGAAATGAATGTGCATCTTCTTCTGCATCATCTCCATTATACTTTTTAGGTTTGTTGAGGAAGGGTCTCCATGTTCCCCTCCCGGAATTGCCTGCAAGTGTGCCAATCAAGCAAACCCCAATTGGCTGCTCTGCAGCATTGCTGCAAATGTGGAATGTGCTGGGCATTCTTTATGTACTTATAGATAATTTTTGTTCATGAAGGACCTGAACTTACATTTTTCTGCTTTTTGTGTAGAAATAGTAATTATTTTATTTATGGGATCTGCTCATTTATTAATAATATTATAATCTGAAACTAACTGAATTATTTTGAGATGCTCCCTGTACATCTCTTCTCCATTATTTAGTTATAATGGTGTTGGTAATATGCACAACTGTTGAGGAAAGATATTGGGCCAAGTAATATGCTGCTCTTTGTAGTTGTTCTCCTTTTCATCTTTTGGATGTCATTTTACTGATGTAAAATCTCATTTCTTTGTAGTATATGGTTTCAAAATTTCTGTGCTACTAATATCCTCATATTCTCTAAATGGAGTTTTCAAATTGCAGATGCAATATTTAGTTAACTTGGGTAGTGAAATTGTTAGTTTTTATGGTAATAAATAGTTTTAGAGATAAAAAATAAGTTATAGGAATGTCATTGAACATCAAAGTGATGCATATAATTTTTTTTGTTTGTTTCTATTCATTGCATTCAATATCTATCTATCTATCTATCTATCTATCTATCTATCTATCTATCTATATATATATATAAACTGTCCACACTTGAGGATAGCTTTGGTGTAACAATTAAGTGACTCCACTTGAGATCTGAAGGTCATGGACAGCTTCTTTGCAAAAGCAGGGGGAAGGCTACGTATGTCAATCCTTCCCAAAGCCCAGAGCCCACGAAAGTGGGATGCTCAGTGCATTGGGTCTCCTTTTTTGTATAAACTGTCAACATTCCTGTCTTTCCTTTTGTGGTAGACGATCCATGTGTTGTGCTCCCTCAATCTGACAAAGGTTATCACCTTTTTTTTTTTTTTTTTTTTTACGAATCCATGTGTTGTGCTCCCTCAATCTGACAAAGGTTATACCTTTTTTTTTTTTTTTGTTATCACCTTTTTTTTTTTTTTTTTTTTCAGGAAATTTAAAATACTGTACATGCTATGCAGTGTCATATTCTATAAAATATTTATCCCTATATACGCCTTATGTATTCTTTATGTCATATTGAAGAATTAATGAGGGATAAAATGGGAAAGTTAATTCTAAAAATCTTTTCACTTTGTGGAAATGGGCATGTATTTTGGGACTGCCAAAAAAGAATAGTAAACAACCTTTTTGGGACAGAGGGAGTGTTCAGTAATTTTCCTCCTTAGGTCGTGGCTAAGAAGGGATCACAGTCTTGAAAGGGTATTCTGGATTACCTTCCTACCCTTTTGTGTATCTGTTTATTTTATTGTATTGTGTTTTTCCCTTTTTTGGTGTTGGGCAGTGATCTCAACACCAAAACTTGCTCTCTTCCATATGTTTGCTTGAGAATTATGCAATTGAAACAAACCTTCATCCTTTTTTATATCACATTTGGAAAATCAGGATTGTTGTAATATGTCCACTGAAATGAAAATGTCCTTTTCTTTTTCCGGTTTCAGTTGTTTCTTATAATCAAGAGGAGCTTAAAGCGGTGCAGTGCTCTGACAAAGAACCAGACACTGTTTAATTTGTTTAAGGTACCATTTCAAAGAATATACTTAAATATTTGTTTTTGTTTGGATTTCCTTACTGTAACGTTCTTTAATTACCTTGATACTGTACCAAACTTACCCTGAAATCCTGAATGCCTTTTCAATATAATGCTTACTAGTGCACTGCTATAGTGATTATCATGTTTCTAGGGATTGAAACACCAGGTATATAAGTTAATGATAGTTCAGTTTTAATTTTTAGACTCTGGATGCTTAGAAGTAGCTTTTATAACTAAATAGAAAAAGGAAATTATCTGGCAATTGGCTTCGCAGAGCGCACATAATATTACTGGCTGTGACAGCAGTAGTAAGAAGAGAAGCAGCAGCAGCAGCAGTAGTAAAATTGCTATTATTTATTTTGGATTTAGGTGATATGGAGAGGTTGATTTCACATAAATGACAATCTAGGTTGTGCGGACACCTTAAAAGGTCTAGCGTACCGGTGTTATACCCGTGTCGAAGACTCTTGGACACGTGTCAGACACTTTAAAAAATGCGTCCAATTAATATTTTTAATTTTAATAATTTTGTACACTTCAAGGATACTTCTTGGACACTTTAGGACAAATTTATCCTGGAAGCAAAGTGTTGGTGGGCAATTCATGGTGTAAGTGCGCCTCTATTCCAAAAAATAGCCTTCAAATTGCTTGGTCAACCATCTTTTTCATCATTCTGTAAAAGGAATTGGAGTGCATATTCATTTATCAATTTTGTGAAAAGGAATAAATTAACTCCAAACATGCTGAAGATTTGGTTTTTATTCATAGTTCTTCGACTTTTATTAAGAAGAAGCCCACAATATTATATTGAACAAACAAAAAAATGTGGAATGTTGCAAGGGATTGACTTGATTCTTTTGAACATGTTGGAATTCTTGAAATTGTCACTTTATCTAAGATAAGCCAGAGATGGAGGTGATGATCTTTGATGATGTTGTTATTATTGAGGATTTAACTAATGATGTTGAAGTAGAAAACTACGTATTTTTTATTTTTTGTTTATGATATATTATGGATTGTTATTTACATATTTTAATTTCTTAATAAATTATATTTTTTAGTGTAACGTGTCCTAAGCGTGTTGTGTCCTATTTTTTTTTTTTTTTGAAAATTGTCGAGTCCTGTGTCCCGTGTACGAGTCCGTGCAACCTAGATGACAATATAATGTGATAGGATTATTTGACCTTGAAGCTGATTAGCTTACCTCAGTGCTACAAGTGTATAAACTGTATTCAGATTCTTACTCTGACATTTTGTTATTAGGTATTTGAAAGAATTCTCAAAGCATATGTTGCCAAGCTTAAGGCAAGACTACCAAAAGGTGGTGTGGGTATTGTTGCAGCTGCCACTGGCATGGATGGACAAATAAAGGTATTAGATATTTGTCATATATGGATGGAACACAATAAAGGTATAGATATTTGTCATATATCATATATATATATATAAATATATATATTATATAATAATATTGACTTCAAAAATTGAAAACTACGTATATATATTGACTTCAAAAATGAACTACGCTTTATTCTGATGACTAATTTAATCACGTGGCAATTTGATCAGATGTCCGATAGAGATGAGAGGGTGATTTGCTATATTGTCAATTCAGCTGAATATTGTAGGAAAACGGTCAGTATTTATTTTTTTATGACATTTTCTCTAGGCTTAAGTAATTCTTGCTTATATCTTTATATATTAGGCAATAGCCTTTTTTAAGTTGCTTGCAGTAATTTTAAAGATATTAGATTTCTAGTCTTGATAATTTTCCTTGTCTAAGGTGTTTATGCCCTTATTCTCAGGAATTTGAGGAAAGGCTTAGTAATGAAGAATTTCAACACTTTTTGCATATTTTCACATCTCAATTGATCACCATTCTTAAGTAAAATGACCAGAAAGATGGATAACTCTGAAATATTCTGTTTGTTGCATTTATTTTAATATCTAAATAACAGGGCATTATCAACAAATCAGTCATGCACTTTTGGACAAACATCCTTGCAAATGTTAATGCACTTGCTTGAATGAAATATTTGTAAACTCGGTTCAATTTTTTGACAGTCAGTTAGTCCTGTAATCTTCAGCTAACTTCCTTGCAAATATTAAATCACTTGCATGAATGAAATGTTTATAAAATTGGTTCAATTTTTGACAGTCAGGTGAACTTGCTGAAAGTGTATCCAAAATAATTGATCCTCAATTAGCAGCAGGGGTGGATATGTCAGCAGTTGAGGTACTACATTTTATCATAGATTAATGCCACAGCAAACTTATGTTTATAACTTCAGGAGTCATGTAAATTGTGCAGGAGGAGTTTTCAGGGCTTATTACTGAAGCATTAATGACTCTAGTGCATGGCCTCGAAACTAAATTTGATTCAGAAATGGCTGCAATGACACGTGTTCCATGGGGTACACTTGAAAGTGTTGGTGACCAATCAGAGTGAGATGCATGCTCTTTGAATTCATAGTCATGTATGCTAGGGCCTGATGCTAATTGCATAATGTAACTATAACTACCTTCCCACAGGTATGTCAATGGCATAAATATGATCCTTACAAGTAGCATTCCTGTACTTGGAAGCCTTCTATCTCCAATTCACTTCCAATACTTTTTGGACAAGGTAATTACAAAGACAATCTTAGCCTATGGTGGGGGGAAAACAGGTTGTCTAACTTGTTATTTATTTCCTTTCTTTCTCTGTTTTTTTACATCTATTTTTTCTATAGTATACATAAATATGTAATCAATCATCATTTATTTGAAGATCAGCATCCTTTGTATATTTTATTTGCTTGCATTTACCAATCTGGATTTTCAGCCAAACTGGCTTTTATGCTTAAATAGCATATACCTTATTGTGCTTGTTTCTTACCTTGTGCAGCTGGCATCATCTCTTGGTCCACGGTTTTATGCCAACATTTTCAAATGCAAACAGATATCAGAAACTGGAGCCCAACAAGTAGGGACATTTCCAATTTTTATTTTTGTTCTTTCCTGAATAATTGTTAGCTTAAATTAAGATTGACTGGTCAATAAAATAAATGGCGGCTGAGTTTGGTTTGGATAACACTTACTAAGAAATAAAGCCATACAGTAATCCATTAAATCTTACATCCTAGGTCATGCATCAAGTTGTTTTTGCACCTGAATTTGGAATCAATTTTAACCATCTAACTCATGGAAAATTTCATGCTATTTATTATTTCAAAGCTGCTAGCCTGTAATTTGTTTGTTTGGCTACATATTTTCCCTTCCTATCTTGGATTAAAAATGTTGAAGCATTTAACTGTTTAAGTTTAACAACTCTTTCATTTCATGAGATGGTGATGCCTACATATATTATAATTTCATTAGATGGTTGCATCTTTGTTGATGTATCCCAAGTATCAAAACTGCAATCTTTACATGTAGATTGCGAACTCTTTCATGGTGTAGAAAATTTCTTTGTTAAATTTGAAAAGAACACAACTATTCGTTTTGATGAAACCAAGCCAATAATCAATATACATTGAAAAATACCAGCTCTGTTTATATGTTCCTTGGGAACCATTGTTTGTGATTGTTTCATGTAACCCGGCAGTAACAAATGGTATGACACTTTTGCAGATGCTTTTAGATACTCAAGCTGTAAAGACTATTCTTCTGGAGATTCCTTCTCTTGGTCGACAGGTGAGTTAATGCTTACAAATACAAATAAATATAAGTATGATCAAATGCTATGGAATGGAATTTACTAATTTCATTTGTTAATCAACAATTGACTTATTGTTAATTGCATATGGTTCATTACAAAGCTGATTTTTTTTTTTTTAAACGTGTTGCCTGGTTGGGCAACACATTTATTTTGGTGTCACACCTGGGTTTTTTAAGTACCTGCAAAGGCTGGACTGCAGATGCAGTTATTCTTTTATGTGGTGGGCCTATAATTCATGTGTGACATATTTTTAGATAGCTGCTAAGCCAAATGGGTGCAATTAAGAGATTTTATATTTTCTATAGGGTTAAAAGTAATGAAAATTCCCTAACACATGTGCATACATGCATACACCACTCAATTTTAGAGCTTTATAAGGATGTTATATGAGAGTGAATGTTGCGATGCTAAACCCTAAACCCTAAACCCAAAAAATACTAATCGTCTTAAAAGAATTTGATTTTGGATTTATATTGCTTCGTTATAGATTAGTATTTTTTGGAGAGGCAAGGAAAGCCAAGCCAAGCCTATACTGAAGCAAAAGTTTCGAGAACAAGTTTCAGTTAATCTGATTATTATTTCTGTACTTAATGGAATGTGATGTCTTTTTGATTTCTTGTCACTTCCTGAAAGAGTTATCTTAACCAGTTAACTGTCTTTTGCTGAGGCAGACATCAACTGCTGCTAGCTATTCAAAGTTTGTGAGCCGTGAAATGAGTAAAGCAGAAGCACTTCTGAAGGTTTTGATCACGTTATATTTTTAGGCATTATATTGTCTTTCCTTATTTACAGAGGTTTTTTATTCTGAGGTAAAGTAATTTTCTTTGTATAGGTTATACTCTCCCCAGTTGACTCTGTGGCAGATACTTATAGAGCATTGCTACCTGAGGGAACACCAATGGAGTTTCAGCGCATTCTGGAGCTTAAGGTTTTGCTTCTTCTCTTTTTCTTTCTCTGTTATCTAGAGACTTTTCCTAACAAGTCATTTTCTGTTAGTTAAGCATTTAGAATTAGCAAATGACCAAAAAAAAAAAAAAAAAAAAAAAAACTAGAAGACGTTTTCCTAAACAAGCTCATTGTTAGTTTAGCATTAAGAATTAGCAAATGAACCAAAAAAAAAAAAAAAAAAAAAAAAGAAAACTCTGGATGCCTGTTAATTGCTTTGTTTCTAACTATATTGGCAAACAAACGTAAGAAGGGTAATACTAAACTACTGTCTTGGGCTATTCCCCAATCTAAGAATAGATAAACTAGAGTCTTAAATAAATGTTAATACATCACAGGTCCCCATTCAAGAAAAGCTTTAATTGCCAAAACTATCTAAATCATAAAGTTGATTGAAAGTATGATCAGCACAATTGATTTTGTTGAATTGGGGGGGACATATATATAAGCTTATAAAAAAACCATAGGGTGCTCTATAATGGCTATTAATAAGTAATTTCTTGCATTTGGATCTAGGTGATATTCTAGACCTTGAGCACATTTGAACTTTGCGCCCTTTTCTAGGGCTGGTATTGGGCTGCATGGCTTTCTACTATAGCATATTTTCAAGCATCAATTCTATCTCAAAAAAAGAAATCCTTTTTGGAAATTCGGCTCCATTGTTTTTAAGAGCAATCGAATTATCACAGTATTTTGAAGCCTGCCTGACTGCGACAGTCAGACCAGTGAACTGGTGACCAAGAACAGAGGTACTAGGGTCTGTTCTTTTATTTAACCTGACAGGTCAATCTGACCACTAAACTCAGTTGAACTGACCGATTATTTCTTAACCCATCGTGGACCAGTGGAACCTTATCAAATAATTATAAAACTGAAAACTTTTGAAAAAATCCTGTGTGGGCATATACTAATTTTTAATGAAAATGGCCATTTCATTAGATTGATGCAAAGAAAAAAACGATTTTATTATGTTTTATCTGTTCAAATTTCTATATTAAAATGGTTCAGCGTTGGTTCTAAAATTTTTATTTCCAAGGTTGACCCAAAAAATAATCAAACAGGTTTAAACTCCATGTTTATGAATATTCAACTTTGAAGTGTATATAGGCCGCGCACACTATTGTTCTGAAATTTTCTCACAATTGTCGAGCGCGTTATGTTCAGGGTCTTTAAAAACGGAAGAGATCAAGCAGAAAAGTCAATATTGGACCGACCTTCAACAAACATGTGGCCAGCAATTACACAACCCGTTCTATTGCACCATCACTGTACCTGCTGCCCCCTGACCTGCTCGCAACTCCTGCAGTTACAAATTCATACAGCTGGGTTTATTGCTTCTCGCGGAAAGACGTGCTTACTACGCAGCTGCGCACGTGTGACGAGGAGCGAGCAAACGACAAGTTTAAGAGGTTCCTTCGCTCTAACAAGAAGCCTGCAAAGGACCGAAAAGGATGGCCTTTTCGGAAAACCTCTTCATGCCTTGAGATCACGCCATGTCGATGTTATATGCCATAGTTTTTGGCATATATTGGCAGCAAATAATTTTCGTATTATGCTTTTCAATATTAAAATTGAATTGTAAAAAATCGTCAATACCAGGGAAAAAAATTTTGTATATGAAATTGAGAATATTGTAAAATAATTTCATGGTTGAGGTAAATTTCTTTGGGCAACAGTCCTAGAGAATGCTTGGCACTTTTATGGGTGGGTTTAGGGTATAGGAGAAGATAGGACCTAATGGGCAGTGTCTTGTCAAATGGAATGGGACGTCGAATTGGATTTTGACTAGATTGAATTGGTTTGTTTTATTTTTTTTTTTATTAGCGTGGAAAAAGATGTTATTGAAAAGAAAATTGTATGATTATTGAAAAAAATGTCCAATTTTTTTATTTTTTTTTTAAAGAGAAAGTACCTTGTGCCATTATTAAATCAGCAAGCAAAACATCAGTAAAGGAAATCAGGAGGGACAAGAACTTTAATTAAAGAAATAAAAAAACTTTCTTTTCAAAAAAAAAAATTAAAGAAATAAAACTTGATCGAGTTCTTGAAAAACGAGTTGACAATTCACTAACAATAGAACTATAAATAAGAGCTATCTAGACTAGAGTTGACCCATAAATTGGGGCAAGAACCTAGAAAATCTACCTCTCAAAGAGTACCTTGCTCAATCTGCCTTTCCCTTAACCCAAGGGCCTCGCTCCAAGATGATAGAGCCTCTGTCCTCTAAGAGGGGGAGTTTGCACCAAGGCAAAACAGCCTGACATCCAATTTTAGCCACCTTCATTACTCATATTGTGGGTTGCATAAACCAACCGCTACACCACCTTAAAGAAGGGTAGGTCAGACTGATGCTACTTTCCTATGCATCTAAACCAAGTTACTGAGAATGGACTTGGTGAGCAGGCAGAGGAATCGAGAACCTCCAAAGTATACGGGTTCTGCGCAGAGTACCAAATGATATACCATGGCAAAACAAACTCAAGTCTGCCAAGTCAGTGGCCTTGAAAACACATTGACCGAGCCAATTCATTCATGGTGTCAAAGGAATGTCACTGTCATAAATTCCCACGCACACACTCTGCCAGTGCAGCCTGGACGCAACATTCCGGCCGCAAAAGTCGGCAGTTTTATAAACACGTGTTGCAGTGTCATTCCTACAGGTCTGTCACTCGAACACAGACATCGTTCACGAACTCTATATCCGACTCGCCTCGCACATCGAGAGCAACAAGAACACTGTTAGTAGTCGCTAATTAGCCAAATTACCAGTTCTAACGTTTGGTGGCAGCCTGTTTAACCTTTCCATAAGACTAGCCTAAAAAATGGTTTATATTATCGGGTGTATGGGGGCAAGCAGACCAAGAGAAGATGTGAGCATCTTGATATCCACTTCTAACAGAATAAGAACACCACTTCCTTTCGCCTTTCCAAATCGAATCATCCTCCTGCCGATTTCAGCTCAAGGGATGCGATAAAATGCACTGTAATGTCCCCATGGTAAGAATACATTCATATCAGGATCTCCATACGCCAAAAAGAGCCAAATTCTGAGATAAGAGAAGATTTACATAGTGAAAAGACAGTTTCAAGGCGGCATAGGAGAATTAATATGGGGTTCTCAGCATTAAGCAGCAAATGCGTCGTTCCAGATCGATATGGGAAATCTCCCTTCCCTACCTACTTCACAGACCGCAGACTTTTTTTTTTTTTCGATTAAATGTACAAAAATATATTAGAACCCAAAGTAAGATAAATGTACAATACAGAGTGAGGAGGGGGCATTCCCCATCAAAATAAACACGCACAAGAACAAGAAACTCAGCGGTACAAAAGAGAAGACCAATAGGGTAGGCCTCAAAACCTCGATAGCAATTGCTTGGGAAAATTTATAATAAAATCCGGATAACCACAAATCTGGATCTAACAAAAAATGGTCTCTCATGGAGAAAATTTTTTTACCTTCAAAGGTACATTCATTCCGACCACTTCCAAAGCATGTATAACTTGTGGTGACAAAAGCAAAGTTTTGAAGGCAGTTGCCTTCAACCTAGTCCCCCCTGCTTCATGGTGCAGAAATCCTCGCTGAATGTGGCAGGAGTAACTCATTCTCTCGTAATGGCCAGCCACTGACCATCACTCTCATCCAGACCCCTGTAGATAGCGCTGGTGCCATGAGAAAAAGAGGTGATTAACAATTTCCGTGGGTACCATGGCAATAGTCTGCAGCGATCGATCAATCTCCAGGATAAATCAAGTCTTGTCCATGGTTGGTAGTCCCATTATGAAAAGGCCAAGCCGCAATGCGATGAAAGTAAAACTTCGGGGGGATGTAATACTTTCTCAAAATCAGCTGATCCATGGGAGCTTCCCCCCCTTGACTCGGAGTAGATCGTATGACTCCCAGAGCAAGCTTTCCATTCACCACAGAACGCCTTGGATATGACTTCATACACACGACCCACACTTCCCAACACTTGGTCAAGTCAAACTGTCACGAATTGGGCAGGCTTCTTCAAGATAGTTGAGATCCTCTTTGTGACGGCTATAGTGTCCCCGGAAATACCTCTCCCATCAAAGGTAAACACCATGAAACTCCATTTTTAACCCATAAAGTCTCCTTCTGCATATGCACATGTCCAGAGGACCTTTGCAAGTAAGTGCCTTATTCACACAACGACAGTCTCTCACCGCCAAAGTCCCTCCCCTCATCCTTTGGGAAAGGCATAAAGTCATCCCATGCAATCTTTTCAGAAAACTTACCTCCCAAAGCGAAAACTCGGCACAATAGAGGTTATCCGGGCAAGAAGCGTGGTAATGAACTGGGAACACCTGTAGTCAAAAAAGACTGAACCCCTTGAATGACCGCCTTAACCAACTCCAGCCGACCCTGCATGAAAGTGGATTTGGGCAATTCCAAGCCGTAATAAGTCCTCAATGTAAACGAACGAGGGGGTCAAATTCCATTACCTTCACTGTCCTGAGGGGAAAAGAGGAACCCCCAGATAGCGAACCCGGGGAAAGTCCTCCGGAATCAAGAAAACAAATGTGGGAGAATCAAATCCTCATCAGCTCCAAACCAGCCCTCCAAAAAGATGTTAGACTTCGTTGGATCTCAACACAAGTCCCCAGAGGCCTTCTCGAATGTCCCTTAGAGTCTGCGCAAGAGTACTTACCAAAACCACTGATCAACCTCTAGAGAAAAGCATCGGATTCATTGCAGAAATGGCGAAAAATGAGAAAATGCAAAGCTTTGCACACTTCGGATGGAACAGTTGAAAGCTTCATTCCTTGTATCTAAGCTAAGCATGCCGTGAATTAAATACTCCATACAAATAATGAAAAGAGAAGGGGACATAGGAATCACCCTGACGAAGGCCCTTGCACCTTAAAGTGCCAATGTAAAGGAACCATTTCCATCACTGAGAATGATTGAACGTGGGTGACACACTCCCATGATCCAAGCACAAAGGGTCCGGTGAAACCAAATATACCCAGTAAAGCCGCATTAAGAAAGGACCAGGACACTGTGTCAATATGCCTTGGAGATATCCAACTTGATCATACACCGGG